TTGCCATAAATACTGTCTCATCGGGTCCAGCGGGAGCATAAGAAGTAAACAACTCCTTGTTAGCACAAACATGTCGAGTTGCTCCTAAATCAATCCACCATTCTCTAGGATTTCCGACTAGGTTGCATTCTGAAAACATGGCACATAGGTCGTCTATTTCATCATTCTTCTCAATCATGTTTGCTTGTCTTTTCTTCTTGTCCTTCTTTGGTGCACGACATTCAGTATCCTTGTGTCCAACCTTTCCACAGTTGTGGCAATTACCTTTGAACCTCTTCTTGCTTGGATAATTCGTTGATCCAGACGGCTTCTTTCTCTTTTTACTCGTTGAAGCTTCCTCAACAATATTTGCACCCATTATTGTTGAATTTCCACGAGATTTCTTCTCAGCAGCCTTGTTGTCCTCTTCAATCCGTAGACGAACAATAAGGTCTTGAAGCGTCATCTCCTTGCGCTTATGTTTCAAGTAATTCTTAAAGTCCTTCCACAATGGAGACAGCTTTTCAATAAATGCCGCAACTTGAAACGCTTCATTTATGACCATACCTTCAATCATAATTTTATAATTAGTACAATAATTAATATCTTGAATAAAAATATTAACTCATTTTATACCTTCAGCAAGGAGGTCATAAACAATAACTTGCAATTCTTGGACTTGCATTATGACAGATTTACCGTCAATCATTTTGAAATCCAGAAATTTGGCGGCTACAAACTTCTTAAGTCCAGCATATTCAGTCTTGTACTTCTTTTCAAGAGCATTCCATAATTCTCTTGATGTTTTCATGATGCTATAAACGTTGTACAAGCCATCTTCCAGCCTACTTAAAATGTAATTTTTGCACAGAAAATCAGAGTGCTTCCAAGCCTCAGTAACAAGGAAGCGCTAATTGTCAGGGGTTCCTTCAGGAATGACTGGAACATCCTCTTGAATGAACCTTTGCAGACTTAGAGTGGTTAGATAAAAGAACATCTTTTGCTGCCACTTCTTAAAGTCAACACCAGAAAATTTCCCCGGCTTTTCCGCTGGTGGCATTGCCGTTGCAGGTGCTGTAGGACGGCTAGGACCTGGCATCCCTGAAACTGTGTTTGCAGTAACAGTCACTGCAGGTTCAATTTGTTCCTCTCCGTTAGTCATTTATGTCAATATGACACAAACAAGTTCAGTAAATGGTGAAGTATTTAATCCTTCAACCCAAAACAGCACAGCGAAGAAATTATTCTTCAAACTGATTTTAACAAAGTGAAGAGATTATTCTTCAAACTTATTAGGAGAGTCAATTCGAAAATCAGAACAGTAAAGATATGTATAAACAGTAAGATTCTTTAAGTTTGTTAGATAATCTGAAATTTAAGTGACTAAAACCAGAAAGAATAAATGAACAGAAATGGCAGAATTATGTTCCGAGCCCACAAATTCCTTGTGTGTCCTTAAAGAATCCTATCCCCTCACTGTTGCCCAAGGTTAACGGATAAATTCTTCCCAGGATAGAACGAATCTTTCCAACTTAGCGGTAGCGGCACTTCAAACCACTAAGTTATCAGCGAACTCAAAATAATGGTGGAAATCACACGACTTTGACTTACTTTGTTTTGAAAGTAATGATGCCGAAAGAAGAAGGAGATGAAGCAGAAGATTTTAGGATGAAAAAATTCTGAAGGAATGGCTGCTTATTTATAGCCAACAAATTCTGGATTGAAAGGGTGTGAAAGTGGCTGTTCACACTTCAGATGGCTATTCGTGAAAT